CACTTGCCTGAACGAGTGTAGGTTAGTCGCTGGTACCTTTGATGCAGCTGAGTGAGATATCAGGTAATCTCACGGCGTGTCACCTTTGATACAGTCACAGATTGTTTGATAGTTGAAATCGTCACAGCTGTCCTGGGTTGTACTTGTAATTATCTTAGCTTGTAAGTTAAACAAGACACACAGGTACTGTTCTCTTCACTTGTTGTTCCTTAGTTTAATGTAAACACACGTGGTGATTTTCTAGTTATATTGGGAGTCATGTCTGTGCAAATATTTGGTATTAACAGACTAATGAGCATTAGCTATTAGCTTGTAATTAGCTGATATAATTAGAGAGAGGTACAGCCTGGAGAGCTGGTCTCACGACACGACTTAGGGTATCATGTCGGGCTGTGAACTGTGGGAACTGGGCTGTACTCTCTTGAGTCTGGTGCTGGTGGTTGGAGAATAGCCCATCCTTCAACACGGACATTATCTAAACAGCCTACCCACACACTGAGGGTTGAGTCTGTAGATTTATGGGCTGTACCCCCAAGAAGGTGTGAATGAACAAATGTTTATGGGCTGTCCACCCTCAGAGGTGTGACAGAACAAATGCTTATGTAGCTGTATGCTCAATAGTCTGGGTGATAGAATGTATACAGCTCCTCCCCGACTTGCGACGGGGTTAGGAGCCCAAATCCAGGTCGTAAGTCAAAAATGCTTAAATAATACATAGAAAATCTAAAATGGGTGTCTTTTTCCTCTCAGCACCACAAAACTCTCACTTCTAAGCTTGCCAGCTATTTTAAAGTGAATTACAAACGAAAATTTTCTCTGTGTACTGACGTTGGGACTCAAAAATACGTAATTGGACAAAATTTTGGTACGACTGAGGCAGGTCATAAGTGCGGGTGGTCGAAAGTCGGGGAGGAGCTGTATAATGAATATATGTCCTTAGCCCATATTTATATATTATTAATGTGACAGAGGCTAATACAGGTTAGGTCCAGTCTTTGTTTACAATATTTTATAATTTTGACTGTAGAAGAAGGATCAGGGACCCAGGAAACAGTGGGGTGAACACATCTTTCATGACTTGATTGCTCGAGCTGTACAGTATATAATTCTTCCCTCATTTATTTTCTGTTCATTTTAAGCAACTGGCATCACAAGTTGAGTCAATCCATTCTTATTTTGACCCTGAATCAGACTTGGAATAACTTTTTGTAACATTCTTTTCAGTTCTTTAGGTCAGGATGTTTGCAGGATTAATATCTAAGGATGTGGATCTTTATATGTGTGTGTGTGTTTTCACACAGGTTGGTGAAATGCATCTAGTGTGGCAGTATTATGTAAGTGTTAAGGTGCAAGCATTGCTTGCTTCTCTCGCTTTCAGCTGCCGCCGCTGGCTAGCCCTCTTGGTGAACAAGTAAGCAACTTGCATAAGTCTTCCCCTGCCAGTACACAGCTTCTTCACCATCAAGAGTCCTGCTGTGCCTCCTCGTGGCAACACACAGTAACTGGGTGCCTTGTGGGCCAAGGCTAGACCAGCAGGGGATCTCGGAGTAGCAGTGAACCCCAGAGGGACGGCGCATAGGCCCACTGGCATGTGGACACGTCCTGGTACCTACCAACCACTGCTCCGCTGCCTTGCGTATTAACCTTGGTAGGTATAAGGCTACGGGAGTAAACCCTGAAGGAAAAATATGCGGTGGAGCCCAGCATCAGGCAGACATGCTTACAGAGCTCCAACAAGACCCCACCGGCGGTATAGGCGGAAGGGGTGACCACCATGGGAACCCAATGACTACGCCGGCGGATGAAGGCAATGCATGATGGACAGGCTACTAAGGTGAAACCCAACAAACTGGGCTATCGGCAGTCCATTGCAACTCTCCCTCTCCCCAGTCATTGCAACACTTGCACCACTGGATCAGGAAAAGGGAGAGCCAAGATGTATGGTTGCAGCCTGCGCTCCTGCCTGATCACATAAAGCACCTCACGCACAGCCATCATCCAGCTCATCATACCTCTCATCATCATCAAAACCCCCTTACCCCCAAAAGGCCTATGGCGACGGACGAGTGGCGACGGGGACAGGCAGAGATGACTACCGGGAGTCTCTAGTCACAACAATGCACATGGGCGGCACAGATAAGATTGTGATTTGTTAACTGGGATGTACAGCATGGGAATCCGGTCCTGTGTGTGCGACTGAACAGCCCCTTCGAGGAGCCACTCTGCTCAATCCACATAGGGAGGGAGCTAGAAAAGGTGCCCTGAACATAGACTGCCTAAAAAAAACAACCTGACCGGGCAACCGCACTCAGTAAGGTCATCCTTATGCAGTCAAAAACACAATCAAAATCACAGATCCAAACAAAAACAAACTATGCAACCTGTTATTGTCACAGTATGGAATGTCAGGACCCTTCTGGATATTGGCACAAATGTGCATCCTGAAAGAAGAACTGGCCTTGCGGCAAAAGAGCTAGGTATAACATCGATATAGCAGCCATTAGTGAGTCCCGGCTCTCAGACGAGGGTCAACTCACAGAACAGGGGTCTGGGCTATACCTTCTTCTGGAAAGGTAAGCCTTCTGCGGAGAGAAACCACATTTATGGTGTTGGTATTGCCATCCAGCAATGCATCCTACACAGGCTAAGTGATAAAAATGCTTATTTGGATCAACGAGCGTCTCATGATGCTTCGAGTTCCACTGAATCACTCACGTCATGCCTTTTTCATCAGCGCATATGCCCCAACACTGGATGCAGAGAATAACCTCAAGGAGGCCTTTTATGCCGACCTTGATAGAGTGCTAACCTCTATCCCCAGAGAAGACAAGGCTGTGCTCCTTGGTGATTTCAATGCCAGAGTTGGCAGAGATGCTAACATTTGGCAGGGAACCATAGGGAGAAATGGACTAGGCAAGTGTAATCCCAATGGCCTACTTCTCCTCAGCAAGTGTGCTGCTCACAACCTCACTATCACCAATACCTTGTTTAGGCAGGCCGACAAGTTCAAGGGTTCGTAGCAACACCCACGATCCAAACACTGGCATCTCATTGACTACATCATTGTCAGAGAAAGAGATCGCCGTTATGTCATCATCACCTCAAGGCTGGTAGTACGGTACGGTGAGGAATATTTTTCCGTACTCCGTACCTAGCTAAAATTCCGTACCGTAATTCTGTACTTCTATCGTACCGTCGGCAAAATATATTTACGTCAAAATAATTCTCTATTTGTGAACAATTTATTAGAGTACATGTGTGGATTTGAAAAGGAACATTTACGAAATGACTATAGATGTAAATGTGCCCTCATAATATTGTTGACTTATTACGGAATTTTATTTCTCAGTCTACCTAATTTACAATGAAGCAAAAATATGTGTCATCTTACCAATAACGTGCAATATTAGATAAAGTGCCCCTGCCTGCCTGCCTCGGATGACTGCTCCCGACGGCGATGGAAGGAGTGACTGTGGAGAGTGAAGAGTTGGAGACACTACTCTCAAGTTATACGTGAATAGTTCACATGACGCAACGTGATCGGTACCAGACTACCAGCTGGCGGACGGTACTCACTGAAGCCACCAACGCATTAACCCTTTGAGGATCGATGACACATTTCTTTTCTCTTTTCTGACTATTATTAGATGATTTTATTCAATTTAGGAAGGGTATATGAAAGACAATAGACAGATGGCTAATTCAGCTAGTCTATACTGTTTATTCCCATAAATCCTTCCTAAGCTGCATAAAAGTGTCTAATGATAGCCAGAATAAACTGTCAAAATGCATCACAAGCCTCAAGGGGTTAATAATTGCATGATCATGTTTTTAAGCCTGGGGCACGGTACGGAATTTTGCTAATTTTTCCGTACCTAAATCGTACCGTACCGTACTTCAAGGAAAATATGGTACCGTAATTCCGTACTGTACATTCTGACTAAATATCAATCGTACCGTAATGCCAGCCTTGATCACCTGTGCCATGCATGGCTCAGATCACTGTGACACTGAGCATAGACTTGTCTGATCCACGCTCTCACTTCACGTTGCCCTAAAACGGCGAAGGCAGCAAGCCACAAGAAGAGGTTTTAATACTAAGCGTCTGGAGGATCCAGCGGTAGCACATGGTTTCAGAGAGCAGCTCGAACATGGGCTTTTAAACAACCCGACAACAAACAACCCAAATCCCAGTACCAAATGGGATGTTCTTGACACTGTCATGACAAAAAACTGCAGAGAGATCCTCAGCCAGGTCAAAAGAATACATCTTTACATCTTGAAGATGCCTCACTCTCGTTTTGATAATATTTTCATCTCATCAACCTGATTGCCTTCAAGAGATGCAAGACACTCTTAAGTTGTTGTAAATCCTGGATGACAGTTGTAGTTCGTCTATCCTCTGTAGAGGACCTTAATAAGTGCCACTCTTGCTTGATCAGCACCACAATTATGTGACTATGGAAAGTTTAAGTTTATTTTTTATATCTAACTTTAGAACTAACATTATATTGGTTTAGTAGGACACTTTCTTTGGTGGTTAAAGTTGGATCCATCAGGTGCCTCCCACTCCAACTAACTTTGTTGTACAGTATTGCTCAATCTTTGTTCATGGTTATGCATTGGAGAGGAGCGAGGCGATCCAGAAGATATAGCACTTGCTTCTTGTTCCAAGGGTCACTGTTCATTCTTAGCTGTAAATGGGTGAAGTGAAGGCAGTCTAGTGCAGTACCGAAGGCTTAGTATACAATGTGTACTGTATCTACACTGTCCCTAATGGGCAGTCATGCCTATGGGACCCACTTTCTCCTTCTTATAATTTGTAGGAGTGATCTTAAAGTCCAATTTTATAAGGGAGTTGGGACTGAGCAACATGTCATCACTGTTTCCTCCCTCGAGGGTTCTGAGGTGAGCTGGAGTGTGGAAGAGCTAGTGGTAAGATAAGTCTTAGAGGTAATTAAATATTTTAGTAATTTACCATGTTGTAATGATCTCCACAGCTGCTGCGGGAGTTGAAGCATCCCAACGTGATCAACCTGCAGCGCGTGTTTCTCTCTCACGCTGACCGTAAGGTGTGGCTTCTCTTTGACTATGCTGAACACGACCTCTGGGTAAGTGTATTACTGTATGTTGCTCTGCATCTGCCTTTATGTTTCCATATTAGTGATCCCTCGGTTAACGAATGCCTCGGTTAACGAATTACCTTCCATAAGAATCTTCAATTCGATTAACGAACAAAAATTCGGTTAACAAAGTTTTTACGAAATCATGTCAACATGTTTTCGCTGCTCACCAGCTGCAATATTAGTCCACCAATACAGTAATCGGTTCTAGTGCTTAAATTCGTTACCATTTGAGTAAATATCAAGAAGGTTGTACTATTCAATGATTTTCCAAGTCTTAAATTAAAATTTTTAGTCATTTTAACAATTATTTAACATAATTGAAGTACAGGGAACTAGTTTTTAGCGAGCCAAACAGCCACTTGACTCACCCAGAATGGCGTCAGTTTGTGTCTCTGCTCAGTGGAGGAAGCATCTTGCTTGAGACTCTCTTGAACATAAATTATTTTTACATTTTTACAGTACAATTATTGGTCATTCTGAAATTTATTTTACATATTGACAATATATAGTGCAGTGCAGTGTTGATTTAAAGAAAATAATCTTGAATTACACCTAGTGAACTTAAAATTTTATGGGTGAAATGGCGACATGAAGCATGGGGTGACTTCTCTTCCACCCCACTGCCTTCTCTTCTCCCTTTTCCTCCACCCCCACTTCTAAGTCCCATCATCATCAACCAGGAGCCTTCTACATGCACACCTCAAAGTAAGTGTAGTTTACTGCATTTATTTTTAGTTTGTATGTAATTTTCGGTGAGCTGGAACCAATTACCCAAAATCCCATTGAAATAATGGTTTCGGTTAACAAAATTTTTGGTTAACAAACGACCTTTTGGAACGAATTATGTTCGTTAACCGAGGGACCACTGTATATATATAAACAGTTTAGTCTTCATTTACGCGGTCAATTGAACCCGTGGAAGTCCGCGTAAAACGAGTAAACGAAATAACAGAACATATGGGATTAATTGAAATAGAGACTGGGCCGACCCCCAAACTTCACTTTTTCCGCCACAATGCGTACGATGTAGTAAAAGTAACATCTTAATTTTATGATGGTATGCACACACAATTAATATTTAAGAGAAATACAGTTGCTGGTTAATGTCCATTCAAATAATGGACTCAACCTCCCCCCCCCCCTCTTCCCATGCTCGCTGGCTCTCCTCCCTCCCTGAGAAATGTTTGGGTGAAAACACTAGCTTTTAGGTTAAGTAATAAATAATAACTCACACTATGGTTAGGATAATATAATTGACCTTGCTTGATTCCTTGCAAGACTGCGAATAATTTGAATATAAACGTCATATATTTTGCACAAAAGATAAAATTTTTGCTCTGTAATAAAATTCTTAAATTAGATCTAAAATTTGTATGTCTAATGCAAATTTTAGGTTGTTTATATTTAAATTAATCACCAGCTTACAAGAATTCCAACAATGTAAATTATATTCTGGCCGGGTAATTTCTATGAATTTTATGAACTAAAAACAAATATCTTCAGCTGGGCGACCTTGTGCGCACCCTGCCCGTGCTGCTTCCGCGTAAATGATGGAATAAACCGTGTAAATAAAAATTGTCGGTCTGGCAAGGTGCTGCGTAAATGGCCAATTAAGCAAAGCAAATCAGCGTAATCGAGACTATATATATATATATATATATATATATATATATATATATATATATATATATATATATATATATATATATATATATATATATAAAAAAAAAACAAACAAACATACATACTACAGGCGTTTAACGTCAGCCGAACAATGTCGATCGCATATACGTCTGTGCCTTCCCCCACCCCAAAAATAAAACAACTGTGGCCTGCTGGACCACCTCCCACGACCCCCTGACAGAACACGATGATCCTTCCCATACTGGCCAGATATTATGTGTTAAAGGAATATCCTTCCTTCCTTGAAGCACTAGTGGTTAACCTACATCTATTGAGGATAAAATATTTCACCTACAAATTGACAATAACACATTTGATGTAATCAGACATATCTATTGCTCAACAATTTACCCAGTTGCAATTAGTTGAAATCAAATTATGTCATTACTAAGAACAACGAAGTCTTTGGTGCACTCTAAGATTGAGGAAAGCGGAGACTCAGGCGTCCTAAGCGAAAGCGGACTCTATGATGGGGGACACAAGCACTCACGCGTGCCACTCATACTGACAGACTTGACACTCCACTACTTCAATATTGTATCGTACAAGTACACTGCAATACAGTGGTCCCTCGGTTAACAATGGACTAAGTGCAAACCTGTACTGTGCTTGTACTAAATGATTATGGTACTAAAATTGTTATTTATTGCAAATATACTTGTTTATACAGGTATTCAAATAAATCACTATCTTACAAGAATCCCAGCAATGTAAGTTATATTCACCCAGGTCTTTGGGTGTCAAATTATGAGAAGAGCTTAGTCACTCTAAGGAATGATAAATAAACACGCAGGCCTTCAGCGCCAACTGTCAAATCATATCGCCTCACCTCCCGCTTTCCCCCACGCCTCCTCGCTAGGGGTTTTAGGCCTTAAGTTTTTCATATAATATCTCAGACTATAGGAGAATATAATTTGCATTGCTGAAATCCTTACAAGACAGCGATTAATTTGAATATAAACGCTACATTTTGCTCAAGAGATAAAAATTGTAGAACATTAGTGTATATTTTATAATATAAAGTTTTTCAACTGTATTTTTGGGTAGATTTACATAAATTTCTTCATTTATTTTCATCCATTTACATGCACACACCGTACTAAAAGAAATAAATGACCTTAGTGCAAAGCTGGGGTCCACATGTACTAATTTGATTACGGTACTAAAATTGTTATGTCTAGTGCCAATTATAGCTTGTTTTATTTAAATTAATCACCAAATTACAAGAATCCCAGCAATGTAAATTATATTCACCCAGTCATTTCACTGGCTTTTATAAGAGAGAAGCTTAGTCACTTAAGAATTGATAAATAAACACGCGTTAGACCTTGGGCCGGTGCCAACTGTCCAACGTACTACCTCACCTCTCCCTCCCTCCTCCTCCCTCCCCTCCTCCCTCCTCCTCCCTCCCTCCCTCCTCCCTCCCTCCTCTCCCTCCCTCCTCCTCCCTCCCTCCCTCCCTCCTCCCTCCCTCCCTCCTCCCTCCCTCCTCTCCACTGCCCAGCATTGTTGAATCTTGTAAGACAGTGAATAATTTTATATAAACGCTTGTATTTTGCACAAGAGATAAATTAATCACCTGTATCACACTGCAGTAGTGATTTAAGAGTAAGAGTGTATATGTACGTATATAGTATTCCACATACACGTAAATATAAAGACAAAGTTTATGTGATGATCGGACAACATCCATTTCGGTTAACATCATGTTTCCAAGAACGTATCTAGGACGTTAACCGGCGCATGACTGTATATATATTGACTATCGTCACTGTAGTTAAATTTTGAGTATGAGAAATTTACGGGACTGTAAGGAGTTCAGTTACGGTACTGTATCTCTGCTACTGTACGTAACTGATGAGGTATTTTGATTATAGGCCCTGTACAATACTGTACTGGGTATTGTAAAGATTATAAGAAACATTGAAACTCCCTAAACAAGACACATGTACTGTATATATATTCTTGCTTGCAGCACATCATCAAGTTTCACCGGGCAGCCAAAGCAAACAAGAAAACTGTCCAAGTAACTAAAGGAATGGTCAAATCTCTCTTGTATCAAATTTTGGACGGGATACGTTATCTTCACTCAAACTGGGTGCTTCATAGAGATCTGGTAAGTTGTTTCACTGGGTGCTGTCAAGAATTTTCATTATAAAGTACTGTATGTCATATAAGTCAGAGAATAAATCACTGTAGGTTATGTATGTAGCATCTATGTATATAACCTACATCTACAGCACCGAACACAAGACACAGCCGAAGGTGTGCAAACTTTGGGATAAAAGCAAAGTGCTGGATGTACAGTAGCTGTCAGACAGCAACCTTCTCTGATAGACCTGAATCTTTATGTGTTCCCTGCCCTCATACACAGGACTTCATGCCAAAACTGTTGGAGGTACAGTTTAGTACATTGACCATACACACTTCTGTATATGAAAACCTTTTGGGTATAAAAACTTCATTTATATATACTGTTTATATATATAACGGAGTACCTTAGCTTTCTTTATTCAAGACATCTTCAGAGCAACTTCAGAGCATGTCTTGAATAAAAAAAACAATATATCACGTTTTCATTGTGATTTACATGAAATAAATATATATATATATATATATATATATATATATATATATATATATATATATATATATATATATATATATATATATATATATATATATATAGATAGATAGATAGATAGATAGAGGATAGATAGATATAGATAGATAGATAGATAGATGATAGATAGATAGATGTGATGAGATAGATAGATAGATAGGATAGATAGATAGATAGATAGATAGATAGAGATGGATAGAGAGATAGATAGATAGATAGATAGATAGATATAGATAGATAGATAGATAGATAGATAGATAGATAGATAGATAGATAGATAGATATAGATAGATATGTATATATGCTTGGTGAGCACGGGGCTGTGTGTGTGGAGAACCATACCTGCATAGTGTAATGATCACTACATGGTGTGGAGGGGACCTGTACCTGCATAGTGTAATGATCACTACATGGTGTGGAGGGGACCTGTCCCTGCATAGTGTAATGATCACATGGTGTAGGGACCTGTACCTGCATAGTGTAATGATCACTACATGGTGTGGAGGGACCTGTACCTGCATAGTGTAATGATCACTACATGGTGTGGGAGGGACCTGTACCTGCATAGTGTAATGATCACTACATGGTGTGGGGACCTGTACTGCATAGTGTAATGATCACTACATGGTGTGGAGGGACCTGTACCTGCATAGTGTAATGATCACTACATGTGGAGGGACCTGTACCTGCATAGTGTAATGATCACTACATGGTGTGGAGGGGACCTGTACCTGCATAGTGTAATGATCACTACATGGTGAGGGACCTGTACCTGCATAGTGTAATGATTCACAGGTATTTTTATTCAGTTATGTATAGTATACACCCTGAACTTTCTGTTAACTGTTGACATATAGTATTTTAAGTATGTCTGGTTCTGAAGGGCCTCTACCTAGTTTCCCATTAGACTCTTGTCAGCATCCTCCACACTTTTATTGTAGTTAAATGCAATATGATATTTAAGAAGAGAATAGTTTTGTTATAATTAATTGTGCACATGAGAGTAAATGAGGATAATTGGACCATCAGATTGAGTGACCGTGGTGGAGTCTACCGTGAGTTTGAGGAGTAAGTTATGATGACACTTAGTAACATTGTGAGTGTTAGAGAATAATGAAGTTAATAAACTTATTGTTGAAAAATGCATTACTGTATTTTAGTCACATTTTCATTATTACTGATGAAAATTTTGTTTGTCACTCAGGGTGTTTGCCTCTGAATGAAAGAATTGCACTGAGATTTATTTTTGAAACTGAATTTTTTAAAATCAAATCCTCATAAACGTGAGCCAGTATAGGCAATTGTGTAGTAGTTGACCAGAGGAAGAACATATAAGGAGAAATATATAGTAATGAGGAACCAGAGGAAGGACTTACCTGTGAGAGAGATACTATACACCACCACCACCGGCAGAAAGCTCTTGTTTGTGTGACCCAGTACCAGCAAGTCCTTCTCTGGTGATCGCAGACATTATTACCCAAAATAACACATGCTTTTGGGACTGATACTTCTTCCTCAGCTAACCACCAAACTAGTTATAAACCTACAATAAATATGTGGTATAAACATGTGCAGTTTTGTCAAAATACAGTAAGTAATATATTTTATCATTTATCTCACAGAAACCAGCCAATATTCTAGTGATGGGGGAAGGAGTAGAGCGATTCTGTCAAGATAGCAGATATGGGTTTTGCTCGACTCTTTAACTCTCCCCTCAAGCCTCTTGCAGATTTAGATCCTGTCGTAGTGACATTCTGGTACCGGGCACCAGAGCTCCTTTCTTGCGCGTCACTATAACTTAAAGCTATAGGTAAGTGTGTCTGTTTGTCTTAGTAGCTATAGGTAAGTGTCTGTCTGTCTTGGTAGCTATAGGTAAGTGTCTCTGTTTGTCTTGGTAGCTATAGGTAAGTGTCGTTTGTTCTTGGTAGCTATAGGTAAGGTTCTGTCTGTCTTGGTAACTATAGGTAAGTGTCTCTGTTTGTCTTGGTAGCTATAGGTAAGTGTTCTGCCTTTGTCTTGGTAGCTATAGGTAAGTGTCTGTCTGTCTTGGTAGCTATGGAAAGTGTTCGTCTGTCTTGGTAGCTATAGGTAAGTGTTCGTCTGTCTTGGTAGCTATAGGTAAGTGTCTCTGTTTGTCTTGGTAGCTATAGGTAAGTGTGTCTGTTTGTCTTGTAGCTATAGGTAAGTGTCTGTCTGTCTTGGTAGCTATAGTGTGTTCTGTCTGTCTTGGTAGCTATAGGTAAGTCTCTGTCTGTCTTGGTAGCTATAGGTAAGTGTCTCTGTTTGTCTTGGTAGCTATAGGTAATCTTGGTTTGTCTTGGTAGCTGGTAGTGTCTCTGTTTGTCTTGGTAGCTATAGGTAAGTGTCTGTTTGTCTTGGTAGCTATAGGTAAGTGTCTGTTTGTCTTGGTAGCTATAGGTAAGTGTTCGTTTGTCTTGCAGCTCTAGGTAAGGTTCGTCTGTCTTGGTAGCTGGTAAGTGGTCTGTTTGTCTTGGTAGCTATAGGTAAGTGTCTGTTTGTCTTGGTAGCTCTAGGTAAGGGTCTGTCTGTCTTGGTAGCTATAGGTAAGGTTCGTCTGTCTTGGTAGCTATAGGTAAGCGGTTCTGTCTTGGTAGCTATAGGTAAGTGTCTGTCTGTCTTGGTAGCTATGAGGTGGTTCTGTTTGTCTTGGTAGCTATAGGTAAGTCTCTGTCTTGGTAGCTATAGGTAAGTCTCTGTCTGTCTTGGTAGCTATAGGTAAGTCTCTGTGGTAGCTATAGGTAAGTCTCTGTCTTGGTAGCTATAGGTAAGTCTCTGTCTTGGTAGCTGTTTGTTCACAGTTGATGAAATAAATAGTTAGTCAAACACCTGTTATCACATGTACAGTACCGCACCTGTTATCACATGTACAGTACCGCCCTGTTATCACATGTACAGTACCGCACCTGTTATCACATGTACAGTACCGCACCTGTTATCACATGTACAGTACACCTGTTATCCACATGTATTATCCTGTACAGTACTCACCTGTTATCACATGTACAGTACCGCACCTGTTATCACATGTACAGTACCGCACCTGTTATCACATGTACAGTACCGCACCTGTTATCACATGTACAGTACCGCACCTGTTATCGTACAGATACCGCACCTGTTATCACATGTACAGTACCGCACCTGTTATCACATGTACAGTACCGCACCTGTTATCACACAGTACCGCACCTGTTATCACATGTACAGTACACCTGTTATCACATGTACAGTACCACCTGTTATCACATGTACAATCGCACCTGTTATCATGTACAGTACCGCACCTGTTATCTGTACAGTACAGCACCTGTTATCACATGTACAGTACCGCACCTGTTATCACATGTACAGTACCGCACCTGTTATCACATGTACAGTACGCCTGTTATCACATGTACAGTACCCTAAACATTGTGCCAGCATCGTGTGTGGGAGTGATGGCACATTGTGAACAGTTATAAACATGATGAAAGAGGCATCACCCATGAGCCAGTGATGAGGGCCCCGAGTAAATGTGTGTAGCTACCACGATAAAGTAAAGATTGAGAAAGTTAATACAGTATAGTTAAAAGGTTTTATATTTGTTTAATGATGTTAGATATTTGTTGTAATGTTGCTTCATGGTACTTCATTTATTTTAGTTAGTTAGTTCTTATTCCCAACAATAGGATGGTTGAATCAGTTGCTCCTGTGATGTGAGCTCTAAGAGGTTTGTTGTATATACTGATTTGTGTTTTTTCTTTCCAGATATATGGGCAATAGGTTGTATATTTGCTGAGTTGCTAACGTCAGAACCAATATTCCACTGTAGACAAGAGGATATTAAGACTAGTAATCCTTATCACCACGACCAGTTAGACAGGTGAGGCCTACACTTCTCTTGAACTTTTTCCAGAGAGAGAGAGAGAGAGAGATCACCCCTCCCCGTCAAACACATCACCTCACCTCCCCTCCCCCCACCTCCTCCCCCCCACCTCCCTCCCCCACCTCCCTCCCTCCATCTTCCCAGCCATGGTTTGGTGTTTTAGGCTTAAAGTTTATATCTTATAAAATGTCACAGACTAAAATTAGAAGAATATAATTTGCATTGTTGGAATCCTTGTAAGACAGCGAATAATTTGAATATGGACATCATATATTTTGCAGAAGAGATAACAATTATAGTCCATTAGTGTTGTACATTTTAGTATAAGTTTTTCAATTATGTAACACCAAAAATACAGTAAAGAAAAGTAAAAATTAAAGTTTAACTCTTAAATTGAAGCATGCGGCTGTTTTGTATGTTGAGATGGGCATTTGTAGGAGTGACAGAGGCTTTATTAGTGAAGGTGATGATGCTGTAGATGTTAACAGGATTGGTTCTGGAGAATCTGGTGAGATAAAATTAACTGGTTCTGGAGTTGATGGGAGTTGCTCTGTAGATGCTGCAGAGGTTGATGGGACTGGTTCTGTAGATGCTGCAGAGGTTGATGGGACTGGTTCTGTAGATGCTGCAGAGGTTGATGGGACTGGTTCTGTAGATGCTGCAGAGGTTGATGGGACTGGTCTTGGTTGCCTTTCGACTTTCTTAAAACTTTTCAAGCGATGGTTGAACTGAAACTTTCTTCTTTTCTTCATAAATCTCTTTGTAGTATCGTAGACATTCAGTAATACCTCTTGGTGAATCTTGCTGTTTAAATTTAAACAATCCTTCTTCAATAAGCCTGAAACCTTTGGGGAAAGTCTCTAAACAACACTTCTAAGTACAGCTATTTATTAATTAACTGAATGACACGGACACTTTCATAAATATATTGGCGTTACTAGACAATGACTCCCGGACACAAACATGAAATGGATACACCCACCGTAAGTAACTCACCCTATGTATATCTCTGACAATGACTCACGTGTGACCTGAGAGTGATCCCAGCAGGTGCTGGACTCTGTCTCCTGTGGGAGACTCTGCTAGCTGATGACTCTGTGCTAGGGAGGGAGGTCCCCCTCCCGACCTCAACTTGTGACGAGTGTGACCCTGTCTGCCTCTTGAGTTTTGCCTATCCCTGTCTGTCCCACGGAAGAGCGTAGGCCCCCTATATTGGCGGTGTCAGGCCGCAGATGTCGTCACTAATTAACACTCCAGTCATCTGGGTGTGTCGAGACAGCTGTGTTTGATCAGGTTCATGGTGCGGGCTGGAGGGTAGTTTCTCAGTACTACGGTCATGACTGGTTTGACTAATCAGCGGCAATGAGAGCTCTGTTTATTGTGACTGTGACCTCTGCTGGGTCAGACCTTAATCTCACTATAATTACTGTAGGGTGTGTCAACCTTCGTGGGTGCACCTCTCTACTAACTGTTGTATGTGTTATTCTTCATCAACGTCTTCAAATCCTACAATATTGTAGCAAGCTCAACAATATTTCTTTCAATAATTTGTCACTAACACACACACACACAGACACCCACACACACACACACACACACACAGCACACACACATGTAGGCCTGTGAGTGAGACTTGTTAGTATACAGTCTCACTAAATCTTAATTGCTTGTAGTTGTTTAAGTCCTATTGATATCAGTAGAATTCCTGAGACTTGATAATTGTTGTTCTGTCTCACAATAAAGGGATAAATTATACACAAGACTAGTGTATATATACAGTGTGATATTTACAAGTCCAAATACTGTACAGTTATTAGACTGGCCCGTGATCTGTTCTGATAATGTCCTCAGTGTAGGTCGTCTAGTACTGAGGTGTACACACACACACACACACACACACACACACACACACACACACACACACACACACACACACTCCTGATGCTAAGAATAGCCCAGTCCCAACCATTGTAAAATTATCAATAACTAATTATTATATATCATATTTGTATCACTTATGTTACTTGTACATCATTTGTAAATCAAAACCCATTCCCCAATTATGTAATTGTATATTTTCAGCCTTCGGCTGCCATGCTCTTCAATAAACCGTTAATTATTATTATTACACACACACACACACACACACGCGCATTAAGTTAATAAGCATCCAGTGAGGGTCTTGTTAGCGTGACTGTTTGTAGGTGAATTAAATGATCAGCTGTTAGGAGCTTATCGGCAACACTGGTGCATGTTATCACTCCTTTCTACTCCATCCTCTAATTACCCATACCTTTATGCTTTCTCATTCCATATTTTAAAATGTTATGTACAGTACAGTACAGTACAGTAATGTAATGTTGAAGGGATACAACTTTGCTCATTTATACTTATACTTACCACAATCTCTAAAAATTCAGTGGTCCTCGGTTACTTAACACAATATGCTTCCAGAAGGTGGTTAGTTAACCGAAAATTCTCAATAACCGAAACCATTGTTTCAATGGGATATTATGGTTCCAGCTCACCGAAAATTACATAAAAGTAAAAAAAATGCAGTAAAGTATACTTTCTTTGAGGTGTATGTAGAAGGCTCCTGGTTGATGATGATGATGATGGAAATTAGAAGTGGGGGTGGAGGAGAAGGAAAGAAGGAAGTGGGGTTGGAAGAAGTCACCCCATGCTTCATCCGTCATTTCACCCATAAAATTTTCAGTTCACTAGGTGTAATTCAGATTATTTTCTTTAAATCAACACTGTACTGCACTATATATTGTCAATATGTTAAATAAATTTCAGAATGACCAATAATTGTACTGTAAAAATGTAAAAATACTCTGTGTTCAAGACCTCACAAGCAAGATGTTTCCTCCACTGAACAGAGATACAAACAGGGCCTTGGTGGGTGAGTAAAGTGGCTGATGGGTGCACCAAAACTATTCCTGTACTGCAATTATGTTAAATAAGTGTTAAAATGACTAAAAATTTAAAATAAAACTTGGAAAATAATTGAACAGTACAACCTTCTTGATATTTACTCCAATTTTAAGACTGTAAGCCCTAGAACTGATTTCTGTATTGGCAGACTAATCTTCCAGTTGGTAGAGCAAGCCAAAACATGTCATAACATTTTAAGTAAGAATTTAGTTAACGAATTGAATATTCTTATGGAAGGTAATTTGTAAACCGAAATTTTGTTAACGAGGATCACTGTACTTTAGCTTTGGTGTTTATTGAAGACATCTTCAGGTCATGAGACCCACTAATCACCCACCCAAGAAAGGGTGACCTGACATTCCATGAGAAGGTCAGTAATATGAGACCACTAATCCCTCACCCTACCTCCACCTGACATTGAGTCAGGTCAGGTCAGCCCACCCCCTCACAAAATACTTTAGCTTTCATCTATTCAAGACAATTTCAGAAAATGTTGTTGATTTTCAACCTCGGAAATTTGTTCCTAAAGCCAAAATTTTTTGGAAAATTCTGGCTTTGGGAATGATTTTCAGTTCAAATTTCAATTTCAGCTTTTGGAAATTTCCGGGTTTGAGGATGCTTACGGAGATATTATTTTTATATATATCCCTAATTACAGCACATATGATCACTGTTTCAGCAGGAAGTGTTTCTGAGTAGCGTATTTTCCTCCGTATAGTTTTCTTAAAATAATATATACTGTACAGTACATTGTATCAGTAAATGTGAGGAATTAATCAAAATGAGTCTTTATAAATAATTTACCACAAAAATACCGCATTGCCATTTGGTTGCTCGACAACAAAATTTGTCAATACACACGGGAGACGACTCGGGACAGCTGAGATCCTTCATTCCTCCCTCCTCTTAACACACGAGAAGTTTATTACCTCTTATGTTTTTGACTTCATGATAATCATTTATCTTATTACTTTTCTACAGTCTATATATAAGATGGAGAATGCATGTAAAAAAGAAAGTTATGTATCTACCAAAAATAGTATAGTTGAAAAACACAGCTTGGCCTGGAGTCATAGGAACACTAGGGGAATAGTCTTGTGTTACTATTACAGATAGAAAACTAATATAAAACAATGAAAAACAAGTTAAAATAAAGCAAATTAAAGGATATTATCACAGATGAAGTAAACGGCCTACATGTAAGTCAAAAGGCTGAAGCAAATTCTCAACTCCCTGTACCTCCTTTCCCAGCATTCATAAACCATACTACCTATCTGGCTTATGTTATTAACAATTGTTCTACTTCAAACAACATTTGTATACAATTTAGGTAAAGAATTCAGCTAAAGCCAGTAAATAATTGCCAAAAGAATGTTTAACACAATTGCCATTTGCATACACTCCCTGCTTCACCATAGCAACAGAGACCAGGGACGCTACCTCCATCGCCTCCCTAGTAACGATCCCCTTTATGTGTTTGCTCATATAATGATTATTTCTTTTACTTTTTTCTTTCACAATATGTCTCTAGGATGATGTGTGCACGTAACCGAATAAAAATTAATGAATAAAGTCAATAGTATTCACCTGAAAATACAAGATGAAAGTATTTGTTTTTAAGTAATAAAACAAAAAAATTCAGTAATATCTCCGTTAGCTGAACTTCCTCAAACCCGGAACTCCTCGATAGCTGGAATTGAAATTTGCTCAAATTATGGGGGAAAATTCTCTAAATTCCAGGTTTGGGAACACATTCTGAGGTTTAAAATCAGGAGCATTTTCTTAAAATTCCAAAAGAAAATAAGGAAAACTTAAATTTTTATTTCCGGGTTTGGGAGCAAGTTCCGATTATGAAATACTGTAATGCACAATTACTGGAAAAATCTGAGAAATTTTGATATCTCACCAAAACTTTCTGGTCTGGGCCTGCAAGGTTCCTGGTGTTATGAAAGACTGCATCATGCTTAGCCGCTGGTGAGTTCTCTATATATTTTATTTTGTTTTTTTATATTGTGTCATTTTTTTTACAGTACAGTATTAACAATATATTTGACACTTCCTAACTTTTGTGTTTGATTATTCGTTCATTTTCTGTTAAATTTCTGCACCTGGCCTTTGCTTTGCGCCACATAAAATAATCTATTTATAATTACTGTGCAAACATAAATATTTATTAAATGTGCATACAGTAATAATGAAGTAAATAATATAGTAATAAATATATGCAACAGCTTAGGTGAGGTGACTAGACACTTAAACAGCACACACATTAACAGCACACACATTAACAGCACACAGATTAACAGCACACACATTAACAGCACTACCAAACCATTATCTTATAACATGTTAATTTATAATGATGGCTCGAGCTATGAAAGTGTTTTATATCGAGGGACTTTTTCATATGAGACCTCCATCTAATGAAATATACAGTACAGTAAACCCTTGCTGTTCATGAGGAATAGGTTCCAAGGAGTGGCGTGAGAGGCAAAACCTCGAATAGCAACCTATACCAAACAACCGACCAGCGGCGGCAGCATTCCCCCAACAGTCATCACTGACTTCTGCCTAATACATTTCACTCCACTAGCACTGACACTAGGCAGTCTTTTTAGGAGCATTTCACAGAAACACTAAAGTTTTGAGAGTACAACGGGGTGACCACAGTTATGGAAAAGGCTCAAGCTAGCAACCATACCCACCATCTGCTTACTTGAATCACACACCCGCAAATGACAAGGGTCTACAGTATAAGGATGAAAGACTTGTATCTTAAGTCTTTTATATCTAACCAACCCTCGATAGACTTTCCTCTCTCAATATATTGAGTTAAATAGAGGTTCTCACTGTAATGCTTGGTGACCTGTTCATGATGATGTAACACGTGTTTGTTCTTCTTCAGAATCTTCAATGTTATGGGCTTCCCACAAGAGAAGGACTGGGTAGACATCAAGAAAATGCCAGAGCACACCACGCTAATGAAGGATTTTAAAAAGAACAAGTGAGTGATACTTACACTACCTGGACCCATCACTCAGACCCATTACCTGTGTCTCAGTCCTGTTACTACCAGACCCACTACCTGTGTCTCAGTCCTGTTACTACCTGTGACCCACTACCTGTTACCCACTACCTGTGTCTAAGTCCTGTTACTACTGTGACCCACTACCTGTGTCTCAGTCCTGTTACTACCTGTGACCCACTACCTGTGTCTCAGTCCTGTTACTACCTGTGACCCACTACCTGTGTCTCAGTCCTGTTACTACTCAGGACCCACTACCTGTGTCTCAGTCCTGCTACTACCCTGACCCACTACCTGTTACCCACTACCTGTGTCTAAGTCCTGTTACTACTCAGACCCACTACCTGTGTCTCAGTCCTGTTACTACTCAGACCCACTACCTGTTACCCACTACCTGTGTCTTAAGTCCTGTTACTACTCACCTGACCCACTACCTGTGTCTCAGTCCTGTTACTACTCAGACCCACTACCTGTTACCCACTACCTGTGTCTAAGTCCTGTTACTACTCTGGACCCACTACCTGTGTCTCAGTCCCTGTTACTACCTGTGACCCACTACCTGTGTCCTGTCCCTGCCACCCCAACCACCCACTACCTGTGTCTAAGTCCTGTTACTACCCAGACCCACCTACCTGTGTCTCAGTCCTGTTACTACCTGTGACCCACTACCTGCTACCCACTCACCTGTGTCTAAGTCCTGTTACTACCTGTGACCCACTACCTGTGTCTCAGTCCTGTTACTACTCAGACCCACTACCTGTTACCCACCACCTGTGTCTCAGTCCTGTTACTACCCAGACCCACTCACCTGTGTCTCAGTCCTGTTACTACTCAGACCCACTCACTTGTCTCAGTCCTGTTACTACCTGTGACCCACTACCTGTTACCCACCCTGCTCAGTCCCAGCATTACCTGTACCCACTACTTGTCTCTCAGTCCTACACACCAGACCCACTACTCAGACCCACTACCTGTGTCTCAGTCCTGTAATTACCTGTGACCACCCTATTACTACCTGTGACCCACTACTCAGACCCACACCTGTGTCTCAGTCCTGTTTACTACTCAGACCCACTCACCTGTGTCTCAGTCCTGTTACTACCCAGACCCACTACCTGTGTCTCAGTCCTGTAATTACCCAGACCCACTACCACATTACCCAGACCCACTACTCAGACCCACTACCTGTCTCAGTCCTGTTACTACCAGACCCACTACCTGTTCACCCACTACCTGTGTCTAAGTCCTGTTACTACTCAGACCCACTACCTGTGTCTCAGTCCTGTTACCACCTGACCCACTACCTGTGACCCACTACCTGTGTCTAAGTCCTGTTACCACCAGACCCACTACCTGTGTCTCAGTCCTGTTACTACTCAGACCCACTACTTGTCTCAGTCCAGCTACCCTTGACCCACTCATCAGACCCACCACCTGTGTCTCAGTCCTGTTACTACTCAGACCCACTACTTGTCTCAGTCCTGTTACACTGTGACCCACTACCTGAGTCCACTACCTGTGTCTCAGTCCTGTAATTACCTGTGACCCACTACCTGTTACTACTCCAGACCCACTCACCTGTGACCCACTACCTGTGTCTCAGTCCTGTTACTACCAGACCCACTACTTGTCCCAGTCCTGTTACTACTCTGACCACCACTCCTGACCCACTACCTGTGTCTCAGTCCTGTAATTACCCAGACCCACTACCTGTTACTACCTGTGACCCACTACCAGACCCATTACCTGTGTCCAGTCCTGTTACTACTCAGACCCACTACCCGTGTCTCATCCTGTTACCACCTGTGACCCACTACCTGTTACCCACTACCTGTGTTCCAAGTCCTGTTACTCACCAGACCCACTACCTGTGTCTAAGTCCTGTTACTACCTAGACCCACCACTCCGTGTCTCAGTCCTGTTAATACCTGTGACCCACCACTTGTCCCAGTCCTGTTACTACTCTGACCCACTACCTGTGACCCACCACCTGTGGTCTCAGTCCTGTAATCCACGACCCACTACTCCGTTACTACCTGTGTCCCACTACCTGTACTACCTGTACTCACTACCTGTGGTCCACCACCGTGGTCCACTACTCCATCACCTGTGGTCCACTACCTGTTACTCACCAGTCCAATACCTGGTGATCCACTCATCCACACTCACTTGTGCCACCACCTGTTACCACCTGTGGTCCACCACCTGTTACTACCTGTGGTCCACCACCTGTGGTCCACCTGTCACTACCCAGGTCCACTACCCACCACCCTGGTCCACCACCTGTTACCACCTGTGGTCCACCACCTGTTACCACCTGTGGTCCACCACCTGTGGTCCACTACCTGTATCCACCACCTGTGGTCCACTACCCTGTTACTACCCAGGTCCACTACCTGTGGTCCACTCACCTGTGGTCCACTACCTGTTACTACCTGTGGTCCACACCTGTGGTCCACTACCTGTTACTACCTGTAGCTCTACCTGTGGTCCACCACCTGTGGTCCACTACCAGCCACTACCCAGTCCACTACCTGTGGTCCACTACCTGTTACCACTCTGTCACACTGTTACCACCTGTGTCCACTACCTGTTACTACCTGTGGTCCACTCAGTTACTACCCTGTGGTCCACTACCTGTAGTCCACTACCTGTTACTCACACCTGTGGTCCACTCACTGTTACTACCTGTGTCCAACACTCAGTCACCTGTGGTCCACTACCTGTGGTCCACTACCTGTTACTACCTGTGTCCACTACCCTGGTCCACCACCTGTTACCACCTGTGGTCCACTCTGTTACTACCTGTGGTCCACTACCTGTTACTACCTGTAGTCCACTCACTGTGGTCCACTACCTGTGGTCCACTACCTGTTACTACCTGTGGTCCACTACCTGTGGTCCACTACCTGTTACTACCTGTGGTCCACTACCTGTTAGCACCTGTAGTCCCAACACCTGTGGTCCACCACCTGTGGTCACCACCTGTGGTCCACTACCCACACACCTGTGGTCCACTACCTGTTACCACCTGTAGTCCAACACCCTGTATCCACCACCAGTCCACCACCAGTCCACTACCCTGGTCCACTACCTGTGGTCCACTACCTGTGGTCCACTCAGCCTGTGGTCCACTACCCAGGTTCCACCACCTGTGATCCACCACCTGTAGTCCACTACCTGTTACCACCTGTATCCACCACCTGTTACCACCCAGAGTCCACCACCTGTGGTCCACCACCGTGGTCCTCACTACCTGTGCTCCACACCTGTGGTCCACTTACCTGTTACTACCTGTGGCCACCACCTGTGGTCCACCACCGTGGTCCACTACCTGTTACCACCTGTGGTCCACTCACCTGTGGTCCACTCACCTGTGTCCACTCACCTGTTACTACCCAGGTCCACTCACCTGTGGTCCACTTCACCTGTTACTACCCTGTAGCACTACCTGTGGTCCACCACCGTGGTCCACTACCTGTGGTCCACCACCTGTTACTACCTGTGGTCCACCACCTGTCACTCACCTGTGGTCCACTACCGTTACCACCGGTCCACACCTGTGGTCCACTACCTGTATCCACTGTGGTCCACTACCTGTTACCACCTGTATCCACTACCTGTGGTCCACTACCTGTTACTACCTGTAGTCCACTACCTGTACCACCACCCGGTCCACTCACCGTTACTACCTGTAGTACACCACCATGGTCCACTACCTGTGGTCCACTACCTGTGGTCCACTACCTGTTACTACCTGTGGTCCACTACCCAGTACACCACCTGTGGTCCACTCACCTGTGGTCACTACCTGTGGTCCACTACCTGTTACCACCTGTAGTCCACTACCTGTGGTCCACCACCTGTGGTCCACCACCTGCCACTACCTGCAGTACACTACCTGTGGTCCACTACCCATGGTCCACTACCTGTGGTCCACTACCTGTTACTACCTGTGGTCCACTACCTGTTACTACCAGAGTCCACTACCCAGGTCCACCACCTGTGGTCCACCACCTGTGTCCACCACCAGGTCCACCACCTGTTACTACCTGTAGTCCACTACCTGTGGTCCACCACCTGTCACATCCACCACCTGTGGTCCACTACCTGTATCCACTACCTGTGGTCCACTACTCCATACTACCTGTGCACACACTACCTGTAGTACACTACCTGTGGTCCACTACCCAGGTCCACTACCTGTGGTCCACTCACCTGTGGTCCACTACCTGTTACTACCTGTACACCACCTGTGGTCCACTACCTGTGGTCCACTACCCACACTACCTGTAGTACACCACCAGGTCCACACACCTGTATATCCACCACCTGTGGTCCACCACCTGTGGTCCACTGTTACTACCTGTAGTACACTACCTGTGGTCCACCACCTGTGGTCCACCACCTGTTACTACCTGTGGTCTCACTACCTGTTACTACCTGTGGTCCACTCACCTGCTACTACCTGTGGTCCACTTACCTGTGGTCCATTACCTGTGGTCCACTTACCTGTTACTACCTGCAGTACACTACCTGTGGTCCACACCCTCTGGTCCACTACCTGTGGTCCACTACCTGTTACTACCTGTGGTACACTACCCAGAGTTCACTACCTGTGGTTCACTCACCAGGTCCACCACTGTCACTACCTGTAGTACACTACCTGTGGTCCACCTCACCAGGTCCACCACCCACACCACCAGTCACACCCACTACCTGTGGTCCACACCTGTTACTACCTGTGGTCCACCACCTGTATCCACTACCTGTGGTCCACTACCTGTTACACACCTGTGGTCCACTACCTGTGGTCCCACTACCTGTTACCACCTGTAGCACACTCCCAGTCCACTACCTGTGTCCACCACCTGTGGTCCACTACCTGTTACTCACCACCTGGTCCACTCCTGTTACCACCTGTGGTCCACTACCTGCACTACCAGGTCCACTACCTGTGGTCCACTACCTGTTACTACCTTGGCCACTACCTGTGGTCCACTACCTGTGGTCCACTACCTGTGGTCCACTACCTGTACCTGTAGTCCACTACCTGTGGTCCACTACCTGTACTACCTGTAGTACACTACCTGTGGTCCCACTACCTGTGATCCACTACCTGTAGTCCACCTGTGGTCCACTACCTGTTACTACCTGTAGTACACTACCTGGAGTCCACTACCTGTGGTCACTACCTGTTACTACCTGTGGGTTCACTACCTGTCACTACCTGTGGGTTCACTACCTGTTACTACCCTGTGGTCCACTACCTGTTACTACCTGTAGTCCACTACCTGTGGTCCACTACCAGTCACTACCTGTGGTCCACTACCTGTTACTACCTGTAGTACAGTACCTGTTACCACCCGTGGTCCTACCTGTTACTACCAGTTCCACTACCTGTTACCTGTAGTCCACTACCTGTAGTCCACTACCTGTGGTCCACTACCTGTTACTACCTGTGGCCTAACCTGTTACTACCTGCAGTCAATACTTGTGGTCCACTACCTGTGGTCCTAACCTGGCCACTACCTGTGGTCCTACCTGTTACTACAGGTCACTACCTGTAGTCCACTACCTGTGGTCCACTACCTCTTACTACCTGTGGTTCACTACCTGGTCCTACCTGTAGTCCTACCTGTAGTCACAACCTCAGCCCCTAGTCCAATACTTGTGGTCCACTACCTGTGGTCACAACCTGTTCTACCTGTGGTCCACTACCTGTTACTACCTGTGGTCCACTACCTGTGATCCCTACCAGTCCCACTACCTGTGTCCTACCTGTGTTACTACCTGTGGTCACAACCTGTTACCTGCAGTCCAATACCTGTGGTCCACTACCTGTGGTACAACCTGTTACTACCTGTGGTCCACTACCTGTTACCTGTGGTCCACTAACTGTGGTCCACTACTTGTGGTCCACTACCTGTGGTCACTACACCTGTTACACCTGTGGTCACTAACTGTGGTCCACTACTTGTGGTCCACTACCTGTGGCCCACTACCTGTTACTACCTGTGGTCCACTACCTGTTGCTACCTGTTGTCCACTACCTGTGGTCCACTACCTGTGGTCCACTACCTGTGGTCCACTACCTGTTACTACCTGTTGTCCACTACCTGTGGTCCACTACCTGTGGTCCACTACCTGTTGCTACCTGTTGTTAAGTAGTGGAAGAAAAACTTCTAAGTTCTCACTACATGGCCAAAGACATATTACATCATCCTTATATGACCTGCTGTGTCATCCTGCATTGTGCAAGGAAAGATTTAGTGCTATAAAGGAATATTAAAAGATAATTCCCTGCAGCCATTGTGTAGCTAACTAAAGTGTGGTTATCATGTACCCTCTATAGTATGTTGTGTTAGATGATGCCTGTACAGTAGTTTTTCTCTTTAATTACGTATACCGATACATTTTGTTAATACATTCTTTATTTCTCTTTCAGTTACTCAAATTGTTCTCTCGTCAAATATATGGATAGACACAAAATCAAACCTGTGGGAAAAGCTTTTATGTTGGTAAGTATTTGTGATAGTGAACAGTAATGTAAGATAACATAAGTGACTCCCTAAAAGTACATTTCCTTTGTAAGTATCAACACCTTCTCCAAACTCTACCATCACTGGGGGTCTTCACACTGTTATAGAGGCAGTAATAACTACCATCACTGGTCGTCCTTAACCCCTTGTTATAATGAACTCAATGTATCATATATCAGTATGCGATGGAGCTTTCAGAAATGTAACCCCACCATAAATCGAGGTTTACTTGTAAATGAACATTGAAATATTTTTCCACAACTCTTTGTATGTGTGTGTGTGTGTGTGTGTGTAATACAGGTACACCACCGATTTTCCGGCCCTTGGTTCCAAAGCCTTGCCAGATTATCCGTTTTGCCGGACCAACTGAGGTCAGGTAATAATAATTCAACAATACAGTACACCTCTGACCCACTAATGATACACCTCCTGTGTCTCTAAAGCACCATGGACTACTAAGAACTTAAATTAAACAAATATTAAATGTAAATTAATACTGTACTCACTTTGTACTCATACAGAGTGTAGTACACTAAAGGACTAACATTTTTATCTCTTGTGCAAACTATGAGATGTTTATACTCAAATTAATCACTATCTTACAAGGATTCCAGCTATGCAAGTTATATTCTGCTAAGTTTAGTTCTGACATTTTATAAGATAAAAAATTAAAGCCTAAAGCCACCTTCACCCTGGTAGGTAGGAGGGGAGGTGATTTTTTTTATGGGGAATAGCCCACCCGGGCACAGGTCATCGCACCAACGGGACCTGGGGGGGGGGTTAAATAAGAGTAAAAAGAAATTAAAAATTGAAAAGAAAAAGATTATATAACTACACCACGAAGATGCCGGAAAACCAGCTTTTTGAGGTGAGACAGAATGTATGAGTATGGAAACACAGAAGAAGGCAGAGCATTCCACAGTTTGGCTGTGTGAGGAAAGAAGGATGTACTATAATGGGTTATTCTAGTTGACTGACATCCACACAAACGGTGGGCACCAAGGCAAGACGAGTGTTACGAGCCCACGGCCGTGCCGGCGGTACACAGGATGCCAAATGCACCGAACATTGTCCATTAAAGTACCTGTAAAAGAGAGAGAGTGAAGCAGCATTGCGGCGAAGAGTGATTTTTGACTAAAGGAGGAGAGTTAATAAGACGAAATGCCTTTGATTCCACCCTATCTAACAGTTGGACAGAAGAGCCACCCCAGATATGAGAGCAGTACTCCAAGTTAGGACTAATGAATCCCTTATATACTTAAAGCACCTACTCAGGAGTGAAGTAGCTCCGGCATCTGTACAGGTTCCCAACTTTCGGGAGGCAGCTTTAGCAATGCTGAGGATGTGTGGCTTCCATGACATATTAGAGGAAATGGTGAGGCCTAGCATATCTATTTCAGAATTTGGCAGAATGATTGCATCCTGAAATGTGATTGGTGGGAGATCATCTAATTTGGAATGTGTAATTAGTAAATACTGAATTTTATTACTATTGAATATAACCTAGTTTCTTCCTCCGCATTTAGAGATGCTGCACAGATCTGCATTGGTATATGTAATGACATCAGCTCTAGTTTGAGAGTTAGAAGGGAAATTGTGAAGAAGAGTGAAGAGTAGAATCATCAGCGTAAGAATGGATAGAATTAGTTGTAGTGTGAAGTAAATCATTGATAAAAAGAAGGAAGAGAGTAGGTGAAAGAACAGAACCCTGTGGGACACCACTACTGGTAGAGAAAGAGTGAGATTGCTCCCTCAACAACAACTGCCATGGATCGGTTCTCAAGGAAGCTAGAAATTAGAGAACAAAATGTGGGAGAGAAACCATAAGAGGGAAGTTTAGAAAGCAAAGACTTGTGCCATACCCTGTCAAATGCTTTGGAGATGTCGAGGGCCACGACGAAACTTTCCCTAGAATCCCGAAGAGAGGATGACCAAAGATGGGTGCAGTAAGAGAGCAGGTCACCAGTAGATCTTACCTGGTGAAAGCCATACTGGTGATCCGACAAAAGAGAAAAGTGTTCAAGGTGACGGAGAAAATGAGAGTTTAAGATGCTGTAGTTTCGAAAATCTTAGAGAGGGATGAAGTTAGGGCAATGGGGCGATAGCATGGAGGAATGATAGGGTGGAGGCGGTGCACAGCGTTGTCGGGAGTGAAGCCAGCCAGTCACTCTGCCGCCATGCTGTGGTTGGCAAGAGCCTGCCCCTCACACCTCACCAGTCAACGACGTGATTGCTAGTCTACATGAATTATTGTCCTACTGTTCATTAGGCTGAGTGTTCATTCATAAATACATTTGCTAAAATGTAAACAAGTGAGAAAATTCATTAAACTTTATTATTCACAAAAATCTTTACAAATAATACAATAAACGTGTGTGTGTAAATACTATGTGTGTATGTACAGTGACCTCTCGGTTAACGAACTCAATCCGTTCCAGAAGGTCGTTCGTTAACCGAAAAGTTCGTTAACCGAAACCATTGTTTCAATGGGTTTTTAGGTAGTGGTTCCAGCTCACCGAAAATTGCCTAAATTCAACAAAACTGGTAGAGAAAAGTTCACTTACTTTGAGGTGTGTATGTAGAAGGCTCCTGGATGATGATGATGATGATGATGATGATGATGGGAATTAGAATGGGGTGGAGGAGAAGGGAGAAGAGAAGGCATTGGGGAGGAAGAGAAGTCAATGCCTGCCATTTCACCCATAAAATTTTAGTTCTCTTGGTGTAATTCAAGATTATTTTCTTCAAATCAACACTGCACTGCATTATATATTGTCAATATAAAATATATTTCAAATGACCAATAATTTTCTTGGAAACAAGAAAAAAAGCGTTTAGTTGAAGAGAGTCTCAAGTAAGATGTTACTCCAGTGAAAACAGAGAGAGACTAACTCCTGTTTGCTGTGTTAAGAGGTTGATGCCACGCATTAAACTAGTCACTTTACTCTTCAATTATGTTCAATAATTGTTAAAATGACTAAAAAATTTAATATTATTTAAAATTATTGAATAGTATAAACTTCTTGGTATTTACTAAAATAGTAAGGAATTTAAGCCCTAGAACCGATTACTGTATTGGACTAATACTATAAAGCTGGTTGACCCCAAGTGCAAGCCAAAACTTGTTGAGGTTGGCTCGAAGAAACCTTCATAACCGAGGATTGCTCGTTAACAGAAGATAAGAATCTTATGGGAGGTAACTCGTTAACCAAATCTCATTAACCGAGGCGTCATAATCGAGGGACCACTGTAAAAAGAAATTAAATAGAAAGAAAAAAGGTTACCTGTTGATTTACAACAAGAAATGCCCGAAAACCAA